TTAGATTGGTTTTGCTAACATTTGAATTGTGAACAAAATCAATTAAACTAGTCAAATTAGGATTAAGTAATACTCAATATAAATGTGAAATAAGAAGATTCGATTATAACATGATACGATATAATTTGATTAACATTGCTAACAATTACAAATGTTCACTCTATGGCTTGAGCTCCGCACCCTGTCGCTTGTCGAGCTTTTGACTTGCAAATAGTTTGTTGGATGATCAGTACTATCTATACCTAAAACATTAATTTACTAATCTAGTGACGTGTTTGTAACATGATCTAGTACATTATTGTAATTATTATTGTTAGATTTTTTAGTTAGAACTCGATCATAGCATCAATTAACACATAATTAGATATAAAAATTACTTTATATTTTTAGGTCTTAATAGTATTACTCTTATTAAATGTGGTGACGGAAACTACCAACTTTTTTGGAAATGAACCATTTGTCCACACAAGTTGTTAGATACACCATCAAAGATAAAATTTTTTACATTTTACCCTTAATATGTCAAAAGTGTTATAAAGTAGCTTTTGTGTTAGATTTCGTTATTTTTTTTCGTCAGCGTTAATAGGGTAGTTTTTGACGGGTAATAGTATACACCCGAGATTTTCATTATTAGCCATAAGTTTAAAGAAAACATGATTGGAACGATTTCCGATTACCCAAAAAAAAAAAAAACTGAAATTTCTCATGGGTATAGTTACTATATTAGAATCTTATGCGGAGAGTGGAGGAACTCAGGTGAATATTTTACTTTTCCCTTAGATAAGGTTTGCAGATTCTGTATGCTAGGCTTGTTTAGCAATTAAATTACCTTTGCAAATTCCGTATGCTATGCTTGTCTAACACTATCTGGTCACCCTAAAAATTTTGCTTTCCTTCTCATTCACTCGACTAATTCGACTTTCATAGGAGAATTGCTAGATACACATTTGCCCCCTTTTGACCCCGATTTTACTTGTAAGGTCACTTCGTCCATTTTGCTCCTACCACATCTGGACGTTTTCATCTTCGGTGCCATTATCTACTAATATTGTCGAAAATTGCCTGTACACTATCCATTATAATTTTTATCAATTTCACACATAATCACTCATCCATCACTGATTCCATAAATCTCACTAGTTGTCAATGATAAGGAATCAAGCCTTCTATCTATGCAAATAGACAGCTGAGACATTTGATTTTCCTATCAAATAGATCAATAGTGGCAAAGAAGTATATAAGAGTCCCTCAAAAGATATTTCACTTCTTGTTTCACATACAAATATGAAGTGCAAAACTAATGAAAAAAACTTGCAAGACATTTCATATGAAGGAAGGTTTAATTTCTATAAAGTGAACTTATGAAAAGACATTTACTTTATTTTATACATGGGACTGAAACCTGGAGTAATTTTCTCTCTAACAAAGCCCTAAGCCCAAATAAAAAATGCCCACCATTATACATTACATCTATCACCATGATTATTAATTTTACCTGTTTCCTTCCATTGTCACAGTTTTCATATTGCATATCTTATAACGGTTATGGGTTTCATTTTATCTAAGTTGTAGAAATTGGAAACATGTATTTTGTTATACATTTAGACATTTTGTTATTTTTCGTTCAAACAAGACGGCTGTTTACTTTGGAGCAATGCAAAACTAATCAAGTAGTTGAGGAGATAATGTGAGAAACTCATTATTTGAGGGACAAAGCATACTTAAAACAGTTCAAACATAATTTCCCGCAAGGACTAATAATAGAAAGATGCAAACAAGTAACCTTCTAGTTAAGAGCTCCTACTCGAAAATTTTTCGATATGGGCTAGGCTTGATCTTGGCTAAGCCTCATCCCATGGAATAGTCGNATCTTCTAGTTAAGAGCTCCTACTCGAAAATTTTTCGATACGGGCTAGGCTTGATCTTGGCTAAGCCTCATCCCATGGAATAGTTGGGCCCCACTCAAGTATGTTTTGGACAGAAAATACCCATGTGCCATTTGATTTTACGGGCAAAGTGAAAAAAATTCATATACTTGGAGAATAAAGTGCCCAAACTTTTCGTCCAAGCTACAACAAATGCTTGCCATTAGTGTAAAATTAATGACTATAACTAAAGGAGTACTTAAGAGGAATCAAAGTACAACTTATTTTTCAAATAATTCTACAACTTACTGATTTGCAGCTTTTTTGTCTTCTGAAATAATTGATTTAATTGGATAGCTTGCCTGACACCAGCAGATTTGTAAAGGTTTTTTGTGAGGGTGATGACAAATTAGGTGAAGATCAGCAACTAATTTATAATAGGTCTACTCAACCACATTCCTTCTGTGTGAACGATTAGATATTTTTTCATAGGACAATTATTAGGGAATCGTACATGGAATGAAAATACAATAATAGCCATTGCCAAGTATGTTTCTTTCCTTAGTACCCCAGATGTTTCTTCATGAAAGTGAAGATATTTTCCATGGGCCTGATTACGTTTTACAAAGAGATGTATCAAAAATTATAAATAAATAATTATTACTATAGTTTATTTAGAGTACATTACAAAAGAATACGTGTTACG